TGCGCAGATGCCTGTCGTTGACATCTAGCACACGTCGCCAGGTGATAGTCTCTGGATCGATGTCAAGCCTGGCGAACTTGGAGATCTCCTCCTCGGTCAGATCATCTGGGTTCGTCTTGTCGATACCGAGCTTCTTGAGACGACGGAACATGACGGGCACAAACTCGCGCTTGCCCTTCTTGGCTGGTACTAAGCGCTTGTATAGAGCAGCATCCTTCTGAGTGTTCTCGTGGAACATGCGCGTCTCGATAGCAGCGGCAAGCAGGTTGTTCGCGGCGGTGATGGCGTGGATGTCACCAGTAAGATGGAGGTTGAACTGGTCCATGGGGATGACTTGGCTGTAACCTCCACCAGCAGCTCCGCCCTTGATACCGAACGTCGGCCCCATGCTGGGCTGACGCACGTTGGCGAAGCATATCCTGCCAAGGTGCGCGCCCAATGCTTGCGCGACACCGATTGTGGTGGTCGACTTACCTTCGCCGAGCGGCGTGGGAGTGATACCGGCGATAAGGACGTACCTTCCGTTGCGGCGGTGTTCGAGTCGCTTCAGCAGGGACAGATCGACCTTGGCTTTTGTTGCGCCGTATGGCTCGAGCTCGTGTGGCAGGATGCCAACCTCCTTCGCTACGGTTGTGATCTGCTTGGGGTGCTGCTTCCGCGAGATTTCGTGATCGGCGGGTATGGGGTCTTCGATGCGGATGGGAAGAGCCGAGATCTTGCGCTTCTTCTGCCTGTCGAAAGTCGCGTCGGCCGAGTCAACGAGGTTCTGTAGCAGCATGGCAATGGTCATGGGGCCTACACCGCCAGGTACCGGGGTGATGTGCGACGCTACCTCGACGGCGGAGTCGTAGTCGACGTCTCCTACCAGCCTCTGTCCGCTCTTCTTGGTGTCGTCCGGGATGAAGTTGGTGCCAACGTCGATGACGACGGCACCGGGCTTGAGCCAGTCTCCCTTGACGAACTGCGCCTTTCCGATCGCAGCGATGACGATGTCTGCGCGGCGAACAACTTCTGGCAGGTCGGCTGTACGTGAATGGCAGACGGTGACGGTCGCGTCGGCGTTCTTCAGCAGGTAGCTGACGGGGCTTCCCACGATATCGCTGCGTCCCAGTACGACGGCGTTCTTGCCTGAGATGTCGATACCGGCCTCCTCGAGCAGAACCATGACACCCTTGGGCGTGCATGGGGTGAAGAGGGGCTTGCCGCCGCGCTTGGCCAGCTCACCGATGCTCTGGATGCCGAAGCCATCGACGTCCTTCTCGTCGGCGACGGCGGATGTGATGGTGTGCTCGGAGATGTGCTTGGGGAGGGGCAGCTGGACGAGGATGCCGTGGACGGCGGGGTCGTTGTTGTACTCGTAGATCTTGTACAGCAGCTCGCCTTCGGTGAGGTCTTCGGGGAGATGGACGAGCTCGCAGTCGATGTTGGCCTCCTCGGCGGCCTTGAGCTTCATGCGCACATAGGTGCTGGAGTCGGACCTGTCGCCCACTGTCGCGCGTCAGCACTCTGCATCCATCAGCCCGCCGCAATGGGATGCGACTCACCCTGGACAATCTTCAGGCTCGGGCGGTATCGCGGGTTCTTCTCCTGCTTCTCCTTGATCTTCTGGCCGAGCCTCTCGCGGATGCTCTTGGCAATGGCGGTGCCGTCAATCTTCTGTCCAGCCATGGTGAAGCGTGTGCTGGAGAAGTGCCTGGAGGTCTGCGCAGTCTTGACGACGGTATATAGTTGGCGGGGAGCAGTCGAGCACCAATATTTTCTCAGCGGGGTAGCTGTAGCTTGCGGAAAGCCACGGGCGAGAACTCCAACGCGTCCGCCGCAGATCGGATATACTTTCATCGTCCTACCAATCCTGTCTGCGTATCTTTACCAAGTCTAGGATGCACGGCGCGACGTGTTGATACGCATTTCTATGTATGTTTCCAATGACTCAGTCTGGCGCGTCCGATAGCACTCTGGACCCCGGAAAAAGATCAGAACCCGCCGACGCCAAACTTTTGCTCCGCGACTCGCGTGTGCGTTACATATTACGTACCACTCAGGGTGCTAAGGTCCGAACGGGCAAAACAAGCAACGCGACTTTCTCCAACATGGTTCATTGTACTGCTACCAAACCAATCCTGCCTGTAGCTATCATCTTCTCCGCCTGGGTTGTCCTGTGTATTCATGTACTGTACTCTGCGGGTCCGCAATATTTCACAAAGCTACATCAACCCAGGGAAAAACTGACCACTCTCGAGCCTACATCGACGTTAGGTTACCCACTTTGCGTGTCTCCATGTAGTCTCTAGGCCTTGGTCGCATCCATCAGAATCCCATACATGACAAACATTTTCTCTGCTTTGAGCTTGAGATCCTCCGCCTGATCTGCATGGCAGAAGCGGGCAAACCTGTCCGGGTGCCAGAGATTCCGTGTCTCTTTGAGCCACTCGTACGAATATTTACCGGAACCTTGCAGCAGTGCCGACAGATCGTGAGAGCAGATGCCCAATGAAGATACCGAGACCGATTCCTTAAGTGGTTGACATTCCAGCCTAGTGCACTCGTCGACATAGCTTGACATCGCTGGGAATTGCTGTAGCTGGCCGGGTGTGAGGAGCGTCTGTAGGTCTTGCTGAAACTGGATGTATACTGCCTTGGGGTGTTTGTGGACTGTGAGATCGCCAAATTCGATCCAGGAGCCGTGCACATAACCCTTGAAACCCTTCCGGTTGATGACTATGAACCAGTCACGACCCTCGTCGCGGATGACCTTGACTTTTTCGCCTTTCCTGAGCTCTACCTCCCAATTGTCTGCTTTGTGCGGTCGCCCAGACTTCTTGACGGTTGCCCACTGGAAGGGTACAGGCTCCTCTGGCTTTCCCGGTATGTGCTGCATACGCTGTTCGGGCGCGGGCGCAGGAAGCTTGCTTTCGCCGGACTCGTTGCCATTGACCGAGCCGGAACGGGAACTGCTCGGTGTAGAAGTGTTGTTGGTATGCTCCAGATTGGTGTGGATAGCTTCTCTCTCGAAGCCAACAACGAACGGCGCGTCCAGCCCTACCGAGTATTTCTTGATGAACACGAAGGTCTCGCCGTTTTCCGCATGCGGGCTAATGAAGACGTACTGGGACATGTTAGTCGCTATATAGGATAGCACATGTGCATACTCACAGCGAGCTCTTCGTTGATCTTGCGCATCTTCTCATCCCGTTCCAGACCTCCCCAAAGCTTGTTCCATTCAATTCTCATGAGCTTGGCCTCGAAGTTCCAGAGATGACGGTCCCCGCTCTTGATATAGTATGACCCGTTGGCATTCCATTGGACGTTATCTAGCGTACGGGCTACCCTCAGTTCGCCGTTGATAATTCCGTTGCCCTCGCGGAATCCAGAACTTCCCTCTTGTAGCTTGGCTTGTAGCTGAATTGGGATATTCGCACATGCCCACACCGTACCCGACCATGCTACGAACGAGTCTGCGGCGCCAAGCTGTACGCGGAGACCAGACCGAAGGTATTCGGAATCCTGGATGGTCTGGATGAAAGACTTCAGCGCCGATGGGACATCAGGTCCGACCATGAAGTGCGTTGTGCCGTCTTCAGGCTCCCAGACGAAGAACCAAGACTCGGGTCTGCTGCCATACGAGGCCCATGTGATCTTCTTGACAAGACCTCGACCTGCGCCGACAGCTTGGAACAGCCTGGGTGGTAGATACGTAGCGCTGTAACCGTTGGGAGTACCGAGGAACTGATCGCTGCCTTGGCCCAAGGTTATGATGTACTTGTCCGGTGGTAAAGGCCTGAGTCTTCCTAGCGTAGCTGTAATGATAGAGGGAGGAAGCGCTGCAGAAGCCATATTGAAGGTGGGGAACTAAACAATGTGGAGCCTACATCGAGGTTAGGCAGCTGCTTCGCTTGTTTTCATGTCGATGTAGTCTGCAAACCTGTTCAGTGTCCCTTCCTGTATGAGAAGGTCTCGAGATCCGCGATTCGAATTTGGCGTATTTGGGAAGTCGCGCTGGAGTATTGTGGGCTTGTCAACCGCGAGGTGGAAGGAGCAGCGCGTTTGCGCCAAGACTGCGCTCGCAACAAACGGAAAGCGCGACGCTAGCATCGTTGGTGAATGTGAATGTGACAGTGCAAAGTATAAGGATTACACAACAGATGAAGAAGAGAAACTGCACTGCACACCACACATGCGCCTGAACCGGCCACCTCATACAAAGACAATAACGAACAGGCCTGTAGCGTGCAGCCTACAATAAGCTAATAGCAGGTGAGCAAGAAGATGCAGTGTTAACGTAGCATGATGTTCAGCTTTTCCCCTAAATCGGGTGAGACTGTTTATCAGTGACTGCAATCATCCGGCGAGATAGTGATCTGTAATTTGTGAACACCTTCGAGGCTTTTGACTGGCATCAAGCCTAGATACCCGGTGCCAATTCCAGCACTTGAACCAGCAGTATAAATGATGGGTTGGAGCAGTTGACAGCTTGACAAGATTGCAGCCGCGGGAGAACGCGCCCGTCCTCATCTTGCACATGGTGTAAGAGGTGATAAAAGGTACCTGACTCAGATTTACCAGCTTGCCAGCTCAATCACTGAGTAACGAAAGCATGGTGACATCTTACGGAACGATTGATCTGTGACTCACAAGCTGCTTCCTGGTACGCAACACAGCCTACCCCTTGCTGATGTATGACTGCCCGAAAAGAAAGCAAATCCGCTGTGACTCACCTCAGGAAGCATCGTTGAGCCAGGTACAGTCCCGAATAGTGTCCACTCCAGTGTGTATAGTCACTAGGCTTTTGTAATAAACATCTGAGTCAATGCGGAGATGGGATGATGATGTTCAGCACGCGTTCATCTATGGTTGCGGGACAAAGCCGCTAGTCGGCTAGCGCCAAGCAGCCCACTTCGCCCGCTGAACGTCGATATGCACAAGAGTCACCCAAATTTCGAGACGCCGCCCGCCACATATAAGCCGACACACCACCCCGCCTCCACACACCCATCACAAACATGAGGCCCATTCTTCTCTCCGGTCACGAGCGTGCGCTCACGCAAGTCAAGGTTCGCATGCGCTGTGCGTAGGATGAGGGACGAGGAAACTAATAGCATACAGTACAACGCAGATGGAGATATCATTTTCTCCGTATCCAAGGTACGTTTTCCTCCCGGTCTTCTGATGCGCGGAATCTGATTTTTGTAGGACCACGTCGTTTGCGCCTGGTGTTAGTAAACAACCTGTACAAGAGGAATGCGAAGAGAAGCTGATGCGACGCAGACTCACACAACGGCGAGCGAATCGGAACATACCACGGACATCAGGGAGCGCTATGGACGGTCGACGTAAACCCATCCTCTGAGCTTCTGGCTACCGGTGGAGCAGACAACACCATGAGGTTATGGCATGTGCAGACGGGCAAGCTTCTCCACACCTGGGAATTCAACACCAGTATCAAGCGCTGCGAGTTCTCTCCAGACGGCAGACAGCTACTTGGTGTCACCGAGAAGCGATCAGGTCATCTCTCCACCATCTGCGTCTACCCCATCAACCCCGACCCGGAAGCGCAACAGTCGGACGAGCAGCTGCTCAGGATCGTATGCGACGAGTCCAAGGCGACAGTCGCTGGCTTCTCATACCTCGCAAAATACATCATCAGTGGACACGAGGACGGCTCAATAACTCAGTGGGATGGCAAGACTGGAGAGTTGCTCAGCTCCAACTACGACGTTCATGAGCCAGACATGCAAATCAGTGAGTGTCATCCACACCTCTTTGGCTGGAATGGAAGCTAACAGTGTGCAGCCGACATCCAATGGGCTCCCGACCGAACTTACTTCATAACCGCCAGCAAGGACAAGACCGCGAAGCTCGTCGACGTCGAAGAGCTCAACGTCCTCAAATCATACGTTGCCGACACACCCCTCAACTCCGCCGCGATCACACCCGTAAAGGACTACGTTATCCTTGGTGGAGGACAAGCAGCTATGGACGTCACCACAACCTCGGCACGTCAAGGAAAATTCGAGGCACGTTTCTACCACAAGATTTTCATGGAGGAGATTGGTCGTGTGCGTGGTCACTTCGGTCCTCTCAACTACGTCGCGGTACACCCACAAGGAACCAGCTACTGCAGTGGAGGAGAGGACGGTTACGTGCGTGTGCACCACTTCGACAAGCCATACTTTGACTTCATGTACGAGGTTGAGCGGGAGGTCGCGCAGTCGCAGTCGAACTTGTAATAGTATGACCTCACGAAGAATGGTTGATATGGTTCGATATGGCTGCATGCATGCAATGGCGTTCCGGCGGTCGGGTTGGGTGCTTGTCAAGATTAGACGAGCCTTTGTCAAAAGTTCATGAGCGATCAGGGCACATATAGACACTTTATCTAAGCGTCCGAGCACATGTACCTCATCAATGAAAACTTGAAGCAATGTACTGATGCACATTTCCATTGTGTTTATATATGTCCCGCCCCAAGCACCAGCGCCTGCCCATAAGGAGCAGACACCCAAGCATTCGGTCAAAAGTACAAGCAAAGGGCTTGGAACGAGTTGGTAGCTGATCTTCCTGCTTTTGACAAACGAGTCCATCATCGAGAAGGAAGGACGACGTATACTGAAGAGGTTGTAGGTACACAGAGTACCAAAGGATAAAGACGCGTCGATGCTGCTCACTCTGTCGAGCGCAATGTGAGACGCGAAAGAGAAATATTTGTCAACGACCTATAATCCAAACACAGCGGCTGGCTTAAAGGACTGGTAGCTAGCAACGATGAGCTGTGACACACAATGAGTGCGCTCGTGTTAGACATCGCAAACGAACGTTGAATGTAGTGATTGTTCGGTGAAAGAAGGGCGGAAGAACATTGAAGGGCTGAAGCGATCGTGGAAGCTTCGAGAGACCCTGTCCTAAGCGAGTTTAGCGCGTGGCGGTGACCTCACCTGCCGCTCCGACTCATCGCGCTCACACATTGCTCTTTGGGCCTCTACATAAGCAAAAGCTCAATCATCTCTACTACATTGCCCTTCACATCCACATTACATTTCCTCTCTTCCACGTTCGCCGACAGATAAATCCATCGACGAACAATCACCCATTTCAAGAGGACACCCCACATCTGCGCCCAACTCAGCCTTCCGCACCCGACAACCACAACCTCAACCCCTCTACTCCTCAACACCACATTCAAGATGTCTGACGACTGGAACTCCGTTACCAAGATCGGCAGCCGCACTCGTGGTGGCGCCGCCGGACCCCGCGAAACCGTAGTCAAGGGCAAGTCAGCTCTGAACGCTGCCCAACGTAGCGGCGGTATCGTCGCCACAGAGAAGAAGTTCGCTTCTGCCAACGCCGTGAGTACTCCTTGCACGTCCGACTTAGTTTAACAACTTCGTTCTTCGTGATTCCCAAAGTTCACTCAAAACAATACTAACCGACCAGCCACAGGGAGCTTCGTCAGAAGGCCAGCGCCTCACCAAAGTTGACCGTTCCGATGACATCGTCAAGCCCAAGACCGTTGGTATCGCCGTCGGCCAAGCCATCGCTAAGGCGCGCTCCGAGGCAAAGAACGACAAGGGCACAACTATGACGCAAAAGGATCTGGCCACAAAGTGCAACAGCACACCCACCATCATCGCAGACTTTGAGCGCGGCACAGCAACACCAGACCAGAAGCTGCTAGGAAACATGGAGCGCGTGCTCAACGTCATCCTACGGGGTGACAAGATGGGGCAGCCCAAGTTCCCGAAGAAGAAATGAGCGGGTCATTGCTAAGGTCGCAGACCGGGCGCAAGGACACGCTCAGGTTGCGATTTTGCGATGCATTCCGATTCTAAAAGTCGGCTTCGGCTGCGATAAGTCTCTTCTGAATTAGCGGGCTTGGGATGGGCGTTTGATGGACATCACGGTAGAATACCACAATGGTGGACAGCGTACGATAGCTACGGCCTAGCCTGTACTGCGCGGGCTTTGTAGCTCAGTCTCATTGAGCAGCTGTAGAAACTAGATAAAACTACGATCTACGCGCAAGCAATACATTGCCTCTGAACATGCAATTGACATCATCGAAGCTACATGATGCGCAGCATCGCACTAAATCCCTCAGTTGTATCGTCGCATGCGGCGAGCGAATCTCCACCCCTTAGAGCCCGATGCTAGACAGATTCGAGTGCACCGACATATGTATCGTGATGCGGCCAAGTACATGATTGGCTCGTGCTAGCTAGCGACTCACCGTTACAATCAAGCCTGTCGCCTACCTTCACAACACAGCAATAACATGATAGTCTGAGACCCTCCCATACTATGCTCATACCCTCATACTCGCACAAAATAAGAATCTGTGGTGTCGGCATCCCCATGTAAACAACCTGCCCATTTCAGCCCTACTGCGCCTTCCAACTTCACCTGCGCACTTTCCCGCGAGAGTGCCTGCGCTAACCTCTCCCAGACCCATCGTCTTTCTCTCTATCCTCCTCATCTTCTTGTTTTACTTCAGCATGAGTACTACAGATCAAACTTCCACGGTTCCTGTCCCGGCAGAGCCGGCGTTGGACTACCACTTCAAGTACACGGTGCAGAAGGGCGTTTTCATGCAGAGCGAAGATGAGACTGATGACAAGAGTTTTGATTTCGTATGTTCCACTCTTATCTTCGATATTCTGCACGCAACCATGCATTTCGCGATACCGCTATATCCCGTCGCTTCATTCTCATCATTCGGATTTGGCATCCAAGGTAGCTGGCTGACATCCGTGGCAGAAGACACAAAAGTTTGGTCTGATCGATCGTTCCTACCCGGGAGAAGATGGCAGCGAAGAAAAGCAATGGAAGCGTCTTGAGAAATACGTGGCTAGTCTGGAAGCCACTAAGAAAGATGGCGAGAGCTACAAAGTGCTCTTTCTGGGTCGTCATGGTCAGGGTTGGCATAACGTTGCAGAGACAAAGTATGGGACGAAAGCTTGGGACGTAAGTTTAATCCGCCTTACTACCCTTTCTCTTCTCTTGGATCATTCCTCTCCGGACATATGTCATCAAGGAGACATGATGTTAACATAAACATCAAGTGCTACTATGCCGCCCTCGACGGCTACGACGGCATAACCTGGGCGGACGCAAACCTCACAACTGTAGGCCAAGACCAAGCTCTCGCCGTGAACAAGCTGTGGGCCGAACAACTGCCCCTCGGCATCCCACCTCCACAAACTTACTACGTCTCACCCTTAACCCGTACAATCGAAACAGCAAACCTGAGCTTCAAGTCCCTTCCACTTCCGTCATCCCACCCCTACAAACCTTTCATCAAAGAGCTCGTCCGCGAAGCCCTCGGCGTACACACATGCGATCGCCGCAGCACAGCCTCGCACATCAAAGCTACCTTCACGGACCCACCTCTCACTTTTGAACCCGGATTCTCAAACGAAGATCTTCTCTGGGAGGCTGGATACCGGGAACCGAGGTCCGCAAGACGGTACCGCCTAGCCACGTTCCTGGACGATGTTTTCGCTTCCGATGAGAATGTGTGGTTGAGTTTTACTAGTCATTCGGGAGCAATTGGCAGTATGCTGGAGGTGCTTGGACACAGGACGTTTGCGCTTGAGACTGGGGGTGTTATACCGGTTTTTGTCAAGGCGGAGAGGGTGCAGGGGAAGAGGGAGGTTCCGCCTAAGGAACCTAGTGCTTCGCCGCCGTTGTGTGATGGACCGCCTCAGTAAGATCAGAAAGGGGCTCTGAATCAGACTGGGGAATCAGATGATCGACAATCCTATACTGTGACGGGTGACGTGCAGGGTAGTCTAATCTAGTAACTCCTCACAACCGAATCGATTGTTCACAGTTTGCTATGTCACGCGTGTACTTAACGACGTACGTCGCTTGCCATTATAGCACAAATATTAGCGAAAGCACATAAAGAACACAGTCGGCTCTCATATCCTCGTCTCATCGACTATCATCTACCGATTCCTCAGCAGCAGAAAATGTCCACCACTCCACCTATCAAACGAGACCCCTCCTGGACGTTCGACCAACTCAAGATAAAGTACGACATCCTCTGGAACGCGTACTCTGATCATGACATGCCCCTGGATGATGATAAGAGTGAAGAGGATAAGAAGAGGATTGCCGAGCTTGAGACTTCGCTACAGGAGCTTCAGAAGAAGGACGAGGCCAGGCTTGAGGAGCAGAAGAAGAGCGAGGCGCGGAACAAGGCATCGATTGAGTCGCAGAAGCCATACGAAGGAGACCCACACAATCTCTAGATGGAAAGGCTGAACGAAATGCTCGGGGACCTCGAATCATTTCCTGTTAAGTACTGTAATTCTCAAGCAGACGTGAAATGAGATAAAATGAAACCTTACTAGTAAAGCTAAGCGAGACAACGGACAGTTAAAGATGTGTTTCATTTGATCATAGGTATAGCTTAAGCGATCATGCCGAGATCGACTCCTGGTACCGTACCGAAAGTCCCATCAGTTTCACCTTCTGCAAACAATACACGTGCTGTGCTAATATGTCCACCTCATCCCTATACAGACACGCTCACAAACCTCATGAACGCAACCAAGGTTCATTTTCCACTGCGCCTCTAATACGAACAACGAAGCAGACCCAACATCTCATGCAGATGCATCTCGTGAAGTCGTAACAAAGTAAGCGGGAGTCGTTTTACATCATGCCAAGGTCCTCCATGGCTTTGGCGTAGCTGTCCCAATCGGTCAAAGCACCGAGAGCACGACGCTGGTGTGCACTGAGGAGCGTGAGACCGTAGATGTAACTTGCGTTGACCCATCCGAAGCTGTGACATATTAGCCATGAACTAGTCAAATGATGTGAGAAGAAACATACCCTTCGCGAGGAACACCCTTGAAGTCGCTGCCTTGGTTACCGTATTCGGCCTCAACCTTGTGAGGATCAATCTTCCTTGTGACATCGTACTTCTCAACGACAACGCCGTTGAAGTCAACAAATGCCTTGGTGACCATGAAGAGCCAGCGGTAGGCCAGACGCTGGGCTTCCGCATCGTAGCCGTATCGCTGCATACCGACCCAGGCAAGCATCTGCTGCGGCGCCCAACCGAATGGATAATCCCACTGACGGTTGGGGCGGTCAAGGCCAGTTTTGCCGCGCGACTTCTCTGTGCCCGAAACAAGTCCTCCGAAGGCTTCCAGCTTAGGCAAAGCCTTCTCGACAAGAATGCTAGCTTGACGCGGAGTGGCGAGACCGGACCACATGGGCCAGAAAGTAGTGGCACTCTCGTAACCGGTGCGTTCTTGCTTGACAGTGTTATAGTCGAAGTACATGCCTGCCTCCTCGTCCCAGAGATACTTGTCCACATTAACGCGGCGTTTTCTAGCGCGGCGCTCCCATGTGGAAGAAGTCTCAATATGACCAGGCTTCATGTCGCCAGTGCGGAATCCCTCTGGAATTTCGAGCTTGTCGTTGAAATGGTTGCGAATGCATCGACCAATGTCGACTTCGTACTTGTAGAGCAGCGCATTGACGTCAACGACGGCGAGGTCTGCTGCGACCCTCTCCAGACGGTAGGAGGTGTCGTGGCCGGATTCACGCACAGCGCGGTCATGTAGGAAATAATCATCAAGCTCAGGCTCGTTGACCTTTCCGTTGTTGTATGCATCGACGAATTCCTTAAATGTCATACCATGCTTGTCGGCATACGGCATCAAGACGTGGTGGAAATGGCTGGCCTCGGTCTCGGGTGGCACACCTCTTCCGCCAGGTCGGTACCTGGTGAGTCCAGTGACAGGGTCTAAGCGCGGCGCGCTCATCCAAACCGAGTGGTATTCCTTGATGGCAGCAAGGATACCGTTGCGCAAGAATTCTTTGGAGTCAGGCTCGTGCTTGATGCGTTCGTAGCATCGCAGAGTCATGTCGGTGAGGAAGGGTGGCTGGGATCGGCAGAGGTAGTATGTACGGTTCGCGTTGAGAATCTTGTTGTAGTGCTTGATGCAGAAGCAGAAGTGAATGACCATGGACTTGACCAGGTCGACGCGATCGTTGACGAGGAGACCAAGCGACTCCATGTAGCTGTCCCATCCGTAAAGCTCGTTGAAACGGCCACCAGGGACGACGAAAGGCAGGCCTCTCAGGTCCTTCTTCTTCGTCTCTGGATCTATCCATTCCTCCATAGCAATGGCGAGCAGGCCGGGTGCCTTGTTCAAGTCGCGCACATAATCGTCGTTGTCGCAGTCCTTGTCGAGCCAGATGACGTCGAGACGCATTTCGGGGTGTTCACGAGCAATGCGGGTGTAGTACTCGTACTGCTCAGGCGCGCCCTGTGGAATGTATATACGCGGACGTGGGTCGTCTGTCCAGTCCTTGGGGTCGACCCCGACCTTTGCAATGTTGGAGCCATCGATGCGGCGGGTGAGGCCGTCCCAGAAGGAGAACTGGATGAGGCGGCTCAGGCGGTTTACGGGGTTCTCGTTCAATCGCGATTCGTCGAGCACAATGGTCTTGCGGCCGTAGTCTTTGGCGAGTGTGAGCTCCTGGAGCAGGTTCGAGAGCATGTAGGTGCCGCGGACATCGTGCTTTTTGAAGGCATTGGAGCCGAGCGTACCAAGAGAAATGGTCTGTGTATCGTCAGCCATGCTCTCCGTGTTACTGCAGAGCATCGTACCTTGGGACCCTTGTCGTCGATTGTGATCTGGTAGTTGCCGTCGGAATCTTCGCGGTCGAGAAGCTGGCGGAGCGTCTCCTCGACGTTTATCTTGAAGCGGCGAGGCTGCAGGGAGATTTCATCTGGTCTTGTCAGCCAATGGCGCGGCGTGGGTGCGGTGGAAGGTACGTACCGTGACTGATGCGACGACCAGCAATGGCGCCCTCGGCCAATGGAGCATTACGCGTGGAATTGTCTACGTTCTGCACTCAATCAGCCCCGTCATGGCATTAGAAGGAGGAAGGAGCGCGGTACTCACGGCTGAGTAGGTCCGGGCTCTGGCATGCTTCTTCGAGTGACTCTCGCCATAGTAGACGTGCGGTGCAGCGTATGGGTCGAGAACAGTCGAGGTTCGGCGGGGCTTGGAAGATTGCGAGCTCATGCTACGGGGGCGGTGGGGCGACGACACCAGTCAAGGAGTGTGGTGGTAGTAGGTGTTGTGGTGGTGAAGATGTGCTATGTATGGCGTAGGTACTGGTCAGCGTTAGCTTTGAGGGTGGTTGACGGCGAGGGTGGGGGTGGGGCGGCACCTTTGTATCAAGATGCTTCAGAACCTAGGGAACGGCGGGCGGCGGTCACACGACGATATGCTGGTAGTGCTAGTCTAGGTGGCGGGTGCAGCGTAGGACTGGAGAGAAAAGATGGATATGCAACGGGCGAAGGTAGCAGTTTTGAGCGCTGCAAGGCCGGCAGGTCCGCCGATGGCAGCAGAAGGCATAGCAGCAGGCGTCAGTGGTGGGTCTGCTATCACGATAGGCAATGACAGACCAGGCGGTGAAGCAGCTGCATCGTGCCAGACGCAGGCGGCGTGACTGCTATCAATGCGACAGCCAGGCGGCATGATGATGCTGAGCGAAGACTGCCAGAGGGCCCGGTGCTGCCCTGAACCCCTGGGGTACTTCTTCCTCCTCATCACCGTCGCGACTTGCACGCGCGCGCCGACCTTTGCCGCCTCATCATAGTGCCCCACCAGTACGTCATGGCACGATGTCCTCGCTCGACAATCCGCGTGTTTCGAATCTCATCTGTTGAGCTTCAATGCTTGTGTGCGGCGTCTTTGTTTTTCTCCTGCCTAACTCCGGACGCACCTTCCTCGAGCGACGCGCCTGCTGTGACTGGCTCGGTTGCCGGGGTCAGGCGCTGCGTGTCCGTCAGCCTGCAGGCCTTCCCCCACGGGAGCCAGCAGTCCGCACTTCACCCGCAACTCCATCGTGACCTCCGAACAGAACTTACTCTCCCTCTTACACATAGCTCGAGAGCCAGCTGAGGCTGTCGCCTAATATTACCCCACCAGGTCAGCAGATCTAGATGTCCGTCGACCTGCGGTGCATCTGCTGATGGCCGTCTCCGGATCTCATCGAACATGCGACTTTTTCCGTCTGATGTTCACTTCCGGCTCTCCAAGCTCGGCCGTCTGCACGCCGGCCGGTCTTCGGATGCCTACCAGAAGCACTGCACAAGCACACAAGTTGCAAACATCAAGGTAGGAGAGTGTGGGGGTTGTCAAACGACTCGTCGAGTCTGTCTTTTGTTGATATATACATTATACACTACAAAGTCGTGCTTTTTCGTAGAATTTTGAGTAGTTCGGCCATTGGCATCGTGACAAAAGAGATGGTTGCGCAGTCTTGAATGGTATCCGTAAACCCCAACGCCTTCGCTAACACGCAAGCAGACAAACAAAATGCAAGACCAGCTGGTCGACGTTAATAGATGACTTTTTTAAACTTCGAGCTTCTTTGCTGCCTGCTTTCGGCTCCTCCTCATGCCTCTCCAGCTCCACTTTGATCCCTTCTCCATTTCTTGCACGGGTACGCCCAGAGTTGATGAGTCTGGTCGTGGCGTATCGATGTTGCTGCTCCAGCTAGTTGAGGCTGTCTCGAGTGATGTGGCGTTTGAGGCGGTTCTTGACATGTCGACGCTGTACGCGCTCTCGTATGACCTGAGCTTCGATTTTGGTCGTGATGGGAGGGGTTCTTGAAGAGCGAGGAAGCCGGAAGCGAAGCATCCACCGTATGCCTTCAACACCTCCAGTGACGCGGCTCTCCTCAAGGCGATGGTCTCTCTTTGGCTTTCGACATTGCCGTCGTCTGACTCGGCAAAGTCACCGTCGTATCGGTAGTAGAGTTGGTCATCCATTTGACAAGCGCTGTCAACCTTTAACATTGTTAGCAGTGAACCAATGAACTGTTCTCAAGTCAAGACATACCTTCTTGTGTGTAGCGGTGTGTAATTGCAGGTTCTCCTCAGTGAGTTGGAGTTGGTTGAAGCAAGTATCCCAGTTGGGTGTGCGTCCAAGGTTTTGATACATGTTGGTTGGTGGTAGGTAGAATGTTCCGATGGGTGCTTTTGATTGTATTGGGGGTCGAGGGTCTTGATGTAAGGCTGGTAGTTGCTGCTCTGTTGGACTTTGAGTTTGACTGAACCAAAAGGCTAGGGCGCTCAAGTGTTATATACCGAGCGTCACTTGGTATCCTAGCCAGCAATCAGGACGGCATCCACCCCAGCATGCGCCATAGCGCCGCGCTCGCCGATTGACCCCAGGGATCGCGCCCAAAAACGTGGTACATGGCTGCGGCTCTA